ATCTCCAGCTGTTCAACAGGAGAAATTAAACCCAAGAGAACTAAACACTGAAGAGAACAAGCACAGTAACCATCCATTGCTCGACTCAGCATCAGCCGAAATTAAAAAGTATTTACATGATCTCATAGAGGAATTTAAAGATGTACTCCTGATCCAAGTGAGGCAAGATATAAAGAGATTAATTAAAGAAATGACAAGCCCTGCCCAAGAGAACACAGATGGAAGAACTGAGGAAATCAGAAAAGAAAGAGAAGCATCTGAAGAATTTAAGCATAACTTAGAATACATGAAACAGATCCAAAGAGAAAATCAGGAAATTAAAAACTCCATTGAATATTGGCAAAATGCCTTGACAGAAACTAAAGACAACCTTCTGAAACTTGAAGAGAGATTTAGGGCTTATGAACGTGAAAGAAAAAGCCTCTTAAAAATAACAAGGAACCAGAAAGAAGCAATTCTAAAACTGGAAGATGATAAAAAGATGCATAACCTAAGAATAAAGAATGTGAGTGAGGAAGCAGGAACATCCAAAAATGAAATACAAAAAATATTCACAGAGATATTAAAGCAAAATTTCCCATGTATAGCAAAAAGAAATGATATCCAGATAAAAGAAGCATACAGAACGCCAGCTACCTACAACCAAAACAGATCTACGCCTAGGCATATAATAATCGAGATCCCAGAAATCCACCAAAAAAACAGAATATTAAAAGCAGCCAGAGAAAAGATGCAGGTTACCTATAACGGGAAATCTATCAAAATAACGGCAGACTTATCAACACAAACTCTTAAGTCAAGAAGGGAGTGGGGAGAAATATTCCAAGTCCTGAAGGAAAAAAATATGCAACCTAAGTTCATATATCCATCAAAACTCTCCCTAAAAATTAATGAAGAAATAAGATACTTTCAAGACAAGGAGGAACTGTGGGAGTTCGTGGCCACCAATCCAACCCTACAGAGAGCGCTGAAGGACATTACAGAGAAAGAGAGGAAGAAATATCAGGATTACAGCTACAGTGGCAGAGAGGCCTCAGTGTACGGGGCAGACCATGGAATGAGGGAATAAGGTGGACAAATTATAGCAGAAAAGTGGAGTAGCAGACATGAGGCAGAGACGGTAAGCTAGTCTTTGGTAGAGACAGCTCTGAAACTATATTTAAAAAAAAAAAAAAAGCAGAGGTCATTGCTAATGGTGTATAACGATTTAAAAGACACAGTAGTCCTAGTGCCATATTTAGATTGAATTAAATTTGTTCTGGTCTGTCCACTCATATCAGATTTGAGGACACAGACCTCTAGAACCAAAAATAGCAGGTTATACCATGGTAACCATCCTTACTTTCCTATTGACTTAAGCTGAAATCCTGTATTACTTACATTGTCTTACTATGACTGATCTTAATTGTATCTGAATCATAAGACTATTGGTTGGCCTTGACTGATCCTATTTGAAATCCGTATGCGTGTTAGAATCAACCCTAAAAGTAGAGGAAACTACTCTGAGCATGACAGGATGTAAAGGATATCCATACTGGTATGAATTAGTAACAGCTCTCAAATACTACAATGCAGTCAAAGATAAGTTTTTATAAAAATAGGTGATAGTATATTTAACTATAATAAGCCAGTGTTGTCGACAAATCTATTGAAAATAACAAGAGAAAACATAGTAGCTACGGAAGATCATTTATATTATAGTTTTGTAAGTCTTATCCATTGCATGTTTATCTAGGAAATTGTTTCGCTGTCTTGTTATGAATTGGTTTTCCCTATAATACAGAGAAGATAGGAACAAATACTCTGAGGAAGAGACCTGAAAAACCCGAGGCTTATTTTGTAGCATTATAATATAAATTCTAGCAATCTATTGCTTGCTGATTAAAATGACTCTGGACTGGTTTCTTCAGCTCAACTTCAGCATATGCAGAGATGGGGACGGCTATCACAAAGAGAATGAGAGATGCGATGGTAGTTGGAAATGTCTTCCCTAATTTGGAACTTGAGGACCTAAAAAGACTCCATCATCCTGTAATGATTTGATTAGTTCTATAATATGCAATAAGTATAGAAAGTGGGTGAAGTTAGGGACAACTATCTGTAAGAAGCTAGAGACAGTTAGATAAGGTAGATCTCCAGTGGACTTGCTTTGAAATCTGTATTTCTTTAAATTGTTTTTTATTTTTTTTTTAAATGTTCTGTTCTGTTTTGATATGGTTAACCTTATCCTCTTAGAGATGTAAAACAAATAGGTGGGACTGATAATCATATTACAGAGCTTTTGTTCGGCCATAGAGCAGAATGGTTTGTAGGGTCACTTTTTTGAATGTCATTCTAAATACTTTAATTCTATAACCTAAACAGCCATTTCGAAGAAGACAATTTGTAACTTATCAACTGGCAATTTCTTACCTTTTGTTTGTCTGTAATTTAGTATTATTTTTCTACCCTTTTATTCTTTAATCTCCATGTATTTTTTTTTCTTTTCTTTTTTCGTTTCCTTTTCTTTAAATAAAAAAAAAAAAAAAAAAAAAAAAAAAAAAAAGAATAGTAGCTCTAGGACACAAGTTCTCAGTCTGAGCCCAGGGGAGGCTCTTCTTATCCAGGAGAGCTGAGAGGCAGTAACTGATTTTTCCTAATGCTTCTGCTTTGCTTACTAAGGACCTGCTTGAGCAGGAGACACAGATGGACCATGCCAAGGCCTGACTTGTGAGGAGAGGCGGGCGAGCACACAGTGTTCCCACAATCTAGCCCTGCACTCTTCTACAGTGGGGTCACTGTCAGCGAGTTTGGTCATTCCAGTGGGAGAGAATGGAACCTGCCTGGGATTCAAAAATGATTTCCTGACTCACCCTAGAGGAGCTGGCTCCAGAATTGGGATTAATCCTGAACTGTTTATGTGTTAAATTTTTCTACAAAACAAAAATTAGGTGTCTAAACAAAAACCCTCCTGGGGCTTCTAGTGGCGGCTGAATAGGTCCACATGTGATCACCAGAAAACAAGGCATTCCTCACACTAGTACAGGATAAACTCTGGCCTCTCTGGGTAGGAGGGCATCCTGCTGTGTATCTTAGGGTCCCTGCCTTGTTTCGGTGGCAGTGAAAATGCCTCTTGATCATGTCTAAGTGTGTCTCACTATGTCCAATTTCTGAATCATGTTCCAGTTGGCTTGGCCCTGCCACATGGGGCCAGTACTCATTTTGAGCATAACTGTAACTAATTAAGTCCTTTTTTCCAGATCATTATAATAAAGGAGTGATGTGCAATTAAAAAAAAAAAAAGAAAAGATAACCCAAAAGGCAAATAAACATATAAAAAGATACACACCATCATTAATAACAGAGAAATGAAATTTAAAACCATGAAATGGCACTCTCTAAATTTTGGTCTGGTATAATAGGTTGTGATGGGAAAAACAAATTTAAGGTTTTTGGGGTCTTGCTCAGTGGTATAGAACTTGTCTAGCACGCAGAAGTCCCCAAATTCAATCTCTAACACTATAGTAAAAAGCTTTTAAAAAGATATTTAAATGCTTATTTAGAAGTATGTATCTGAGGAAAGTATGAAGGTATATTTCAAGTTTATAGATACTATCTAATGAGTGGCTGGCAGAGGACTTCAAATGTATAAGATTTTATTTCTGAAGGTAGGTAATGGAAACATGGCTTTTATTGTGTTACACATTTCTGGTATATTTCACAAAATAGAAGCCCAAGATGTGTACATACTTTGAACTCCTCTCCTTTGCTGGGCACTTCTTTTTTTTGCTGGTACACGGTGTGGAGTTAACTCGAGGCCTTGCCTTTAGAGAACCGCAGGGAGAAGAGAAGATGGCGTTTAATCAGAACTGAATAGGTTGAGTGGCAGAGCACAGCTGTTACAGAAGTGTCTGGGCCTACACAAAGAAGGCTGGACGTCATAGGTGGGGAAGAAGACAGTAAGCGAGGTGAAGTTGGCAGAACTTTAGAGCCAGATGTTCTGGACTCAAATCCCAACTCAGCCGCTAAGGGTCTTTCTCCATCTTCAGGCTCTCCAGCTGTTAGGTAGAAGCAGCTCCCATCTTGATTGTGAGAGCCAGTGGGGCACTGAGGCGAAGCTATGTAAACTGTATGGTCAGCCTTCTGTTATTCGCAAGTTCCACATCTGTGGATTCAACCAGCAGTAAATTGAAAATATTTAAAAAGTACAAAAATTCCAAACAAAACTTGAGCTTGCTGCGTGGGACTTCTCCTGAAGGAAGCATGTGTGGGAACCACCTTTTCACCTTGAGGGTGATTCACCTGGAGTCTTGATGTCCTGGGTAGGCTCACAATGTTCATCTGTACTGAACACATACAGATTTTTTTCTTTACAATCCCCCAAACAGTGTAATAGAATAACTATTTCTATAGCACTTGCGTCTATTAGCTACTATAAGTAATTAATTTAGAGATCATTTAAAATATGGGAGGATGTGCATGGATTATATGGTAGAACTGTACTTTTTTTTTTTTTGTAAGGGACTTGAACATCTATAGATTTGGGGAATTTTCTGGGGTCCTGGAGCTAATCCCTCCTGGATACGAAAGGACTATAGTTATGTTAAGCAGTCGGGCCAGGAATAGGTCAGATCTATTCCCATCATTATTTTACCTTGTATTTTAGTTTATACTGTGGAAACTTCTTGAAGTAAACAAGAGTAAAGGAGAGCATAATGAATCCCCATATTCCCAGCATTAATTACACAGCTTTAGTGCTTACTGCCAGGGGTACAGCATGTTTTATTTATACTTCTTCCCCCATTACTTAAAGTAAATGCTAGACATCATAGCACTGTGTTCTTGTTTTTATGTTTTGAAATGGGTTCTTGCTGTGTAGTTCAAGCTGGCTTCAAACTTGGGGTGATCCTCCTGCCTCAACCTCTCCCGAGTGCTGAAATTACAGGTGTGTGCTACCACGCCCAGCATGCCCAGATGTCCTTAAATGTTGCTAAGAGAAATCGCCTTTCCCTTTTGGACAGATGAAAATCACACTACAGAATACCACTGCCTCCAGTCGCTACCTGCGAGTGCTCCCACCTTCTACACCATACTTCGCTCTGGGACTGGGTGAGTTCAGGGAGATAGCTTCTTAGACAGCCTCAAAACTATGGGGGCGGTTAGCTGCAGTTACTGACCCAGGAAGCCCTGATGATGCTGCCATGTCTTGAGCTCATCTTCTTCCTCCTTACCAGTTGCTGGGGACCCACCCTCCTTCCAGTGAGGTCCCTCCGACTTGACAGCTCCTCTGTCCTGATCGCCTCCTCCAGCTACTGGCTCTGCTGTTTCCCTCTTCATGTTGTCCCTTCTCTTGGTCTGGTCCTCCCCTGTACTCACTTGATGGTGCCAGTCTCCGGCCACTTCCAGCTCCTTTCAGCTTCCCTGCTAGTGTGTTGTCTTAAGAGCAGCTCCAGCCACTGTCACTCTGCTCAGAAATCTCAAAGGACTCTGTGCTGCCCAGGAAATAAATTCTAAGCCATAGGGCCATGCATGGCTCCACCTAGTCAGACCAAGTGGACCATCTTACTCCCCTTGGGTCCGGATGCTTTTCCTAAAGTCCCTGTTCATCTACCCCTGACAGACCTGACGGGTCTGCTGTTTGCCTAACTTTGGTTCAGAGGCATTAATCTATGCAGTCAGCTCCAGTTGTGCCTGCCGCTGAGGCAGCTGTGTCCACAACCCCCAGGTACTGATCTCCATTCTCATTGGCTGCTTTTGTCCTGCACAGGGATGTTCCCAGGAAAAGGTGGAATGGTGGCTCCTGGAATGACCTGCCAGTACACTGTCCAATTTATTCCTGACTGTCTTGGGGATTTTGATGATTTCATTTTAGTCGAGACCCAGTCAGACCAGAAGCTTCTGATCCCTTTGCAGGCCCGGAGACCACCTCCTGTGCTGACCTGTGAGTTTGTGTTACACCTTACTCAGGCATGCAGTCAGAGTCAGAGAGTCCCTACAAGGACTGCCTGCCTCTCAGGGCTTCTTGGTTAGCAGCAGAGAGCTTGACCCTTTTGGGCAGGGATGTCAAGGTCCTAAGGAGGAACCTGCTGGCTGCTTCTGCACCCTTTCTCAGTGTTAGACCCTAATTTCCCCCTATGTATTTGGTGTTCCCAGTGCAGGCTGAATTGAGCAGGAGAGCAGGCTGCAGCCCAGCTAACTCTAGCACAAGTATTGCTGGCTTGTGGGCACCTCTGAATAGCAAGGAAGACATACCTGGGCACTCTGGGGAGCCCATGGTAGATATTGCCTCTGTGGCTGCGGGGATAGTACCCTTGGAAGAGTGCTTCAGTGAGGCTTCCTCAGTGATGAGCCTCTTCAGTTCAGCATGACAGAAGCTGGGACTCTGACCCTCCTGAGTTCTGCTACAATCCCCGGGGTCATGCTGGTCTTGGCTGAGTCCACAATGGCTGCTGACTCACTGCTCTGTCCAAAAGTGGATGGAGTCCCATGGAACTACTGCATTGTGGCCTAGCAGCAGTCTGGGCAGAGCCCAAGTATACAAGGGTCAGAGGATGTCCCCATTCATTCTCTCAGCTCTGGGTGCTCAGCTGGCGCCCTTAGAGCCATAGCTACTCTGAGCTCTGGCTAGACTTCGGGGTAATAGTGACAACAGGACGCAACTTGGGTGACATGTTAATCTTCTTACATGTTTTTTCTGTGGCTATAGTGTCACCGGTGTTGGACTGTGGTTACTGCCTCATTGGAGGAATAAAGGTAACCAAATTTATCTGCAAAAATGTAGGCTTCAGCACTGGCAAATTCTACATTATGCCCAAAGAGATTTGGCCGCCGATAAGTTTAAGGGTGAGTGATCATACATTGCTTCCTGGAAAAAGAGCAAATCCATCAAAGGAAATGATCCCCTGGAGGGAGATGCTAGATAGTTCCATGATTGGAAACTGAAAAGGAGAATGTTGTTAGCTCTGTATCCAACTGCAGGTCCTGGCGAGAATAGAATATATATGGGGTCTAGGACTATAACTCTGGCAATTGCCCCTAACATCTTTTGACCCTAGGCAGGTGTATCAGCTCTCTTACCCTTCAAGACCAGACTTGAATGTGATTTCACTCACTCATGCATATCACTATCAAAACAAATGTCTGATTATATCAGAGGCTACAGATTAGCAGCTCTTTGGCTGAATTTTGTCAGTATTTATTTGGCATGGTGCTTACAAACAAATTTGAACCAAAGTTTAAAGTGGGAAGATTTCACATAAACACCTGCAATTTCAGCCTCTGGAAAACTGGAAGCTGTGTAGGCCTGGGCCAGGATTCACTATGACCTTAGCTGGGGCTGGTATGTAAGGCCTGTGTTTGGTCCTATTGCCTGGGCTCTATCACTGCCAGGCAGCCCCAGCCAGGCGCCATTGATCATCAGCATATATGGTTATTTATCTTACAGTAGGGGGAAGTCCTCTGAAACTTTATGTCCAGAGAGCTTATAATAGATTCAGAGGACCACATGATCTAAAAAATGCATTTCACTCATTTCTGTTACCTGCCAGAGTCTTGTAGGGCTAAGTTTTTGTCTCTGGCATATTCAGTGGCTTCTTTGTAGGGAGTGGGACTGCAGCCCTGCTAATGAGGTAGCAGCTAACTTCATGATTCATTATAACCAAGAGTGCACTGGTAATAGAGTCAGACGTGCATTAGCACCACTCTCCCCGGGTGCTGAGGAGCAAAAGGAGGTGGTGCTTTGAGGGAGTCTTCCCATGCATTTTGCTTTTGTCTCAAGCACTTTGCATTGGTATTCTTTGCACCTCCTGCTAGTATCCCGTGACTTACTTGTCCTTAATCTTCACGACTTATCTGGTGCTTGGTAAAGGTCAAGTAAATGTGTGCCAGATGTGAGTGAGCTGGATGTTTCTCCATTGACTTGGAACTCAGTGATCCTTAAGATCCTTCAAATAGCAAAAGATAGTTGGAGGAGAGTAGATTTTAATTAGAGCCCTGGATCTTATGATGTTTTGCACTCCATTGTATAATTTTCTGCTTCTCTTTAAGGCTGCTGCAAGCACTGGCTTTGTTGGGCGGCCTCCCTTTGGAATCATGCCTTCGAGGTTTGAGCTGGCCCCAGGGGATTCTGTATTCCTGGAGGTAGGTGGCTACACATTGGCATATACTTCCTCCTTTTTGTGATGGCTCATGTCTCTCCCCATAGCTGCTTTGTGAAACCATTTGCTTCTGTGTTTTCATGACCCAATATCTAATCCTATCCCAGGCCCCAGCTTTAGTAGGTTCTATATAGGTACATACTCTTGCATTCTGCAGGGTGATCTCATTTGACTGTCTTATGACCTTTCTCACAAAGCAAAATTCAGGCAAAGTTAGAGTTCCCATTATGAGGTCAGAATGTTGCTTATCCATATTGTTAGCTTGAGAAACAAAGAAAGTAGCAACAAAATTCCTTGGGAAGCAGTGAGGGAACTGGGGAGGTTTCCCTTTGCATTTGGTAGATATTTGGTTTATTGGTTATTGGTCTTGTGTTTTAAAATTCATTCATATTTTCAAATAATAAATAAATTCAACTCGTTAGAAATCCAAAAGATGGAAATAGGTAAGCAAAGAAGTGCTTCCTTTCCTTTCTACTTCTCCTGCCCCATTCCACCTGCTCCCTGACCAGTTTTCTTTGGGCCCTTCCAAGGATATTTTAGGCTAAATAAGTGACCACACATGGGTTTCTCTTTCCTTGTTTTCCATTTTTCTTTCATGTAGGGTTATCTGTACTATACTCTGTTCTTCACTGTGTGTATCCCATTTAACACTGTCTTAGAGATGATTCTCTTGGTTTTTACAACTACATAGTATTCCACCATGAATGAACCATAATTTAGCTCATTAGTCCCCTACTGGTAGGAATGAAGATGTTACAGTTTATATCTAGATATCCCTTCAAAGCCTCATGCTTTCATAGGTGGGGCTTTTGGCAGAAGGCTGAATCATGAGTGTGTGATACTGGGATTAAGGGTGTGTGATAACTAAATTGGTTTAGCATAGTTCTGGGTATGGATAATGGAAGGTCCACCTTGGATGTGGGTAGCACCAATTAATAGGCTTGTAGGCTGGATGGAATATAAAGGGAGAGAAAGAAGTTAGGCTTGTTGCTTGCTGCCTTCCTGCCTGTCATGCTATGAACTGTTTCTCTTCTGCTACGCTGCCCTGTCTTGGGGTCAGAAGACTATGGATCGAAACTTCTACAAACTCTGAGCTAAAATAAACCTTTTCTCCTTTGACTTGTGGGTGCTGGGTATTTTGACCCAGCAGTGAGGAAGTAACCAAGACAGAAGATTTTCTTTTCTGATCTTCAACTGTTTCAGCAAATAACTTACACATATATCACTCTATCCAAGTATAAGTTTAGCCATAGAATTGTCTCTGAAGCGATTTGTGGATTTTGGGTCCATCTTTCATAACAGTGAAACAAGTTGCTAAAATCTTCACCATGTGCACTGTACCAGCTCATACCTCTAACAGTATGTAATGATGCCTGTTTTCTTACACCCTTGCCATACAATGTGTTATCAAAACTAAAATAATGATTACCATGAATTATTTTTATTTTTATTTATTTATTTTTTGTACCGGGAGTTGAACTCAGGACCTTGTGCTTGCCAGGCAGACACTGTGCTGCTTAGCTATATCCCTGGCCCTACCACGGTGTTTTTAAGCATACACAAAAGTAAAAAGACTAGTTTAATGGTCACTCTTATACTTGTTTCTCAACTTTATCAATGAGTAGTTCTTGGCCAATTGTATTACATCTACACTCTCCATCTCCTTTAATCCACTTCCAACCTGCGTCTTTAGATTAGTTTGAAGAAATGCATTTATTAGAATGAAATTAGACTGTTATGTCATACCATCAAAAGTCAATTAAAAATGTATTAAAATGTTACATATAACACTTGAAACTATAAAACTACTAGAAGAAAATAGGGAGAAAACTCTAGTACAACAAAACATTGATAGCAAGAGTGAAATGGAATTACAAAAAGGCTACACAAAAAAGGAAACAATCAGCAGATTAAAGAGATGATCTGGGGGTACAGAAAACATTTGTAAATCCTACAGCTGATAAAGGGTTAATATCCAAAGTATGTAAGAAATACAGCCAATACAATCTCAAGAAAGCAATCTGGTTTTAAAAAGGACAAAGGATCTATATAGACATTTCTTAAAAGAAGACATAGAGATGGGCCAACATACATATGAAAACATGTTCCATGTCACTTACCAGATGAAAGCAAAGTAAAACCACTTATCTATTAGGATAGCCATTATCAAAAAGATGAAAGGTAACAAGCATTGATGAAGATGTGGAGAAAAGAGAACACTTGTACACTGCTAGTGGGAATGTAAATTAGTGCAGCCATTGTAAAAAATAGTGTGGAGGTTTCTCAAAAAAGTTAAAACTAGAACTACCATATGATCTAGCAATCCCACCACTGGATATACACACAATGGAAATAAAATTGGAAAGAGACATCTGTATTCATGTTCATTGTAGCATTATTCACAGCAGACAAGACAAGGAATCAACTAAGTGTCCACCAGTGGATAAATGGATAAAGAAAGTGTGAGGTATAGATATGCAGTAGGATACTGTTCAGCCTTTATAATGAAGCAAATTGTGTCATTTGCAACAACATGGATGAAACTGGAGGATGTTATGTTAAGCGAAGTAATCTGGGTGCAGAAAGACAAAAGCTGTATTATCTCACTTACCTGTTGAATCTTAAAAAGTAGAACTCATAGAACAAAAAGTAGAACAGTGGTTACCAAAAAATTGAGAGTGGTGGAGAATTTTTGGGGAAAAAAACAGAGAAAGCACAATCACTGCATTTATGACAGCTAATTCTATGCTCTTTGCCAGTATGATGAGTGAAAAACTGTTCTTCTGGGTGGTCTGCTTTCACATTTCTTTTATGAAAAATGAGCTTACATGTCATTTGTTTCTTGAACTTTCCCTTTCCTTTTGACATACTCCCTGCCTTATGGTCTTCGGGTTAGGGTAGCAGGGAGGAAGAGGAGAGGAGGAAACAGTGGAAAGCAAAGAGGGGTGCATGTCTGACAAGAGGGGAAGGGGAGGAGAGTGGGGGCCCTTGAGTGAGGGTGACAGGGCGCCCTTTCTCTCCTTTAGGTTTTGTTCTTACCAACGAGCCTGGGAAGGACAGAGCAGACCTTTATCATCCTGTGTGACAACTGCCAGATAAAGGAGCTGGTGATTGCAGGTGCGCTTGGCTGGCAGCAGTGTCTGGAGAGCACACTGGGCATGTGGCAGCCTCCAGGCACCAGAATGTAGCTTTTAGTCCCTTGCTTTGATCAGATCCAAGCCAGGGTGGCCTCTAAGACAATCTAAGAAGACCTGCAATGAGGGAAGATGGAAACTTGGAGTGAAATCTTTCATTGGTTTCACTTTGAAAGTCACTTCGCACTCCTTTGAGGAATTGTCAGTGACTCACATAAATCACCAGAGGCACCTCAAGGTTTTTGTAAAGTTGGAAGGTGCATCCTGCTGAATTGCCCCAAGATGCTCACCCACTTATCCTGTCTCCTTCTCTTCTTTCTTTCTTTTCTTCCATTTGTCCATCCTGTTTCACTTGGCAGGCATTAAACTGAATGAATGCCTGATATGTGCTAGGTTCCCCGAGTCATCTCCTTTCTGGCTGAGAAAGAGAGGACGTTAATGTTGTGCTAATGACCCTCTTTCCTTTCTGTGTATATGTCTGGGGACTATGGTCAAGGCGGGATGCATGTGGATGATGGCATCGGTCCCCTAGCAGTCTTTAGCTAGAGTCCTGACTTCAGTTTAGTGAAATTTCACTAACTTCACAGCATTACTTTGTCAGGAACTGGGCAGCTCGTTGCTTTGGATCTAATCTATGTATCTGGTGAAAAAAGTCAGCCAGACCCTGGAGAACTCACAGACTTAACAGCTCAGTACTTCATTCGATTTGAGTCTGAAAACCTTCAGTCCACATCGAGGAAACAGCTGATTATCAGAAACTCTACGTGAGTGGCCCCTGTGCACATCCTCCCAACATGCATCCCTTCTCCTGCCTCACCTGGTCCTGAGTTCTCAGTGAGATAGGAGCATCCATCCAAGGTCAGGGGGCATTCTAGGCCCCTGATAGATCCAGACTGGATGGAAGGATCTACATTCACAGTCTCCGTCTTGATGGTCACTAGCTAAATGTGGCTATTTAAACTTGAATCACTAAAAATTAAATAAATTTACAAACACTTTCTCAATGGTACTGACCACATTTTAAGAGCTCAGTCATCACATGTAGCCAGTGGCCGCCACATTGGAGATTGCACACTATTGCTCTAAATCATTTTGACCCATTCTGAGCTAGGAACAGTACTCTAGAGAGGTCACATTGCATCAGTGCCCTGATGCTGGCAAAGCCATCTCAATCCTGGGGCAGAGAGATTAGATCTGTGGGTTCAGCCCACACCGTCATTTACTTCTTGACCAGCCTTTAAGCACCATCATTCTACCATGAGTGACCTCAGGGACCTCCCAGGTAGGTCTTCTCCCTGTTGTCAGACATTACACAGGCTTCTGTGATCCAGCATGACAAGTGGTACTTGCCTGTCATCCCTCCTGCATTTGCAGCTTCCTGTCAGGAACATCTGTGCTTCCTACTGCCATGGAATTGTCACAGGCCTTTATGGGTAGCCAAGTACACTTATCCTGGGAATGCATAGCTAGAAACAGGGTCCAGGGAGGGGTGCATATGGCAAACCCTGGACACCGTAACTTCTGGCGTTGACCATATCTCATGATTCACTACAACTCCTGCCTTCCACTGTGGTGGATGGAAAAGAGGGGGCTCTTCACATGGTTCTAGTTTGCACTCCCTGACCCATCTGCAGTCCCTTTCCCAGGTCTTTCTATGTTTCTCCATGGGAGGAACTTGAAGCTTGACAGTTTCTATTCCTAGAAAGGAATTTTGTCTTTTTTTCTGCATACTCCTGGAACAGGGCAGGCCAGGTATATATAGATGACCTGATACAGTTGGGACATAGCTTTGGATCTGCTGTCCACTGACATGGTTTTTCCCACAGACATGTGGAGCTGGTCTTCCGTTGGCAGATCATGAAGCCCAACCTGAAGCCTCTAATGCCTGGAGAAACCTACAGCCTGAACAGCATCAAGCACCACCCTGATAGGGAGACTGCCTTCTCCATCAAGCCTGAAAAGGGGGTTCTTGGCCCTCACACAGATCATGAGTTTATCCTGAGCTTTTCTCCTTATGAGGTTAAAAGGGGGTCATGTTGTCAGCTACATATGATCAGGTCATGATATCTTGCCCCTCTGTCTGTGTTCTTTAATGACATTAAAGCCACAGCTGGGCCTGACAAGGCACTGGAGCACTCCCAGAGCATATGCCTGGTGTTCAGGATGATGAAACTCATTTTTCTGGTTCAGATCCTCTGTATATGCCCCAGCAGCAGGACCTCAGGCTTGTCTCCCAGCCCTAGTGTCTTACACAGTTCTGTTGTGTCAGAGAACATTACCACCTCACTCATCCCACAGCAGTCTTTAGACAGCATGAGGCTCAGGCTGCCAACGGCCTGGTTAGCACAGGGCCAGTCTGGGCCTTTGTTAGCAAGACTGGGACCCAGAGAAGCATGGTGCTCTTTGGGACTCCACACCAGTGACAGCCTCAGGGGTCTCCCTTCCCTCCAGAAGGCTGCTTCCCATGGCTTCTGTCCTGGCAGCAGCCCCACTTTCTCAAGGTGTGAAAGAGGTGGCAAGAAAGTGCTCCATAGTTGTTTGGAGGGCCAAAGGGAGGAGGGATTCCTGTGCCAGTGCCAGTTATTTCCAGCAGCCTGGCTGGAGTGCATGCCGGTTTTCAGTGCAGTATTTGTCTTGCAGCTGAGGGGTTTCCATAGTGTTCTGCAGATGGTGCTGGAAGACATTCCCAAGCCTGTAAGGTGAGTATGGCCTGGACCTGGATTTGAGTGGACAGCTGGGGATGCTTCTGTAGCAAATCCCAGGTCCAGGGTAGACGATTACCCTGGCTGCCCCAGGCTTTGGGAGCCTCTAGCACTTTTACTCTGGCAACTTATTGCAGCTTTGGCTCAGCCTACAGGGAATAGAGTTGACTGGACTTTCTAGGAGAGCTATAGGTCACCCCAGGAAGCATGGGCTGTCCTTAGTCTCATTGCTTCACTTGGACAGCTGAGTTCATGCTGCCTGGGTGGTGTTGAATACTAACGATATTTTGCTTCATCTCAGGGTGGAGCTCTTATCAGCCTGGTGCACAGATCCCAGGCTGGGGGCTGCATTGTAGCTTTGGATGATGATTCTGATTGTAGAGGGCTTGGGAATCACAGACTGTAGGTCTTTTCTTTTTAAGATAAAAAAGTGACAGAACCAGAGACATGTAGGGATGTGCTGCTTTCTAGCTCACGGTGGGTTTGTCTACAGCTCAGAGGTAGAGAACCAGGCGGACTACTTATATTCTGCGGATGACCTGATTGTTTTGGAAGTCGAAGTGAAAGGCTCAGCAGAGCCCTTCCAGGTTCTCTTAGAACCATATGCCCTCATCATCCCAGGGGAGAACTACATTGGTGTCAATGTGAAGAAAGATTTTAAGGTAGGGTGTATCCTGTTGCTTGCTCAGCCTTGCAGAGGAGGTGTTGAACTGTAGGGAAGACAGAGCTGGAGGGGCCGCTGCAGGGAGCCTGAGGCTGATCCCAGGGCCCCATATGTCTGGGTCAGGCATGTCTTATCTTATTTTACCAGTGTTTCAGAATCCTCTCAACTAAGGCTGTGCAACCCTTCCCTATTCACAGGTCCTTAGCAGGATATGGCACTCACATGGCTGTGGTGTGCAGTGAGGTTGCTGTTATGTTGGGAAGGCTGCAGCGTTGGGTGTCCAGGAGTTAACTGGGTGGCTAGGGAGCAGACGTGTGGTGTGCTCATGATCCCTCTCCACTCAGCAGGTACAGATTTGATGTGAGAGGGTAGCACTGGGGCAGCCTGGATGGGGGTATGTCTTTCAGATGTGGAACAACAGCAAGTCACCCATCAGATACATGTGGAAGAAGATCAGTGACTGTCATATCATTGAAGTGGAGCCCTGCACAGGGGTCATAGGTACCTGGGATTTGCAGGAGTGCGTGACCTGCGTGGAGGAGTCTAATATTAGAGTTAGACGGGCCTGTGGGAGGCCTTGGTGTCTTGCCATCAGGTCCAGCCAAGACCTTTGGCATGTGCCAGATGAAGCTTGGAAAGGCTGGAGATCTAGTCCTGACCACAGAAGGAGACCATCCCACTTCTCTTCTTTCTGTTTTCCTCTTTCAGAACCCAATGAAGTTGGGAACTTTGAGTTGAACTTTACCGGGGGTGTCCCTGGCCCAGCAAGCCAGGACCTGCTGTGTGAGATCAGACACTCACCCTCACCAGTCGTGTTACACATTGAGGCAGCCTTTAAGGTTTGCAGGTGGGGTTGGGCAGCAGGGGGGCCCAGGGAGGTCGCAGGGGTAGAACACAGAGCCCACTCCTGGACAATCTAGTGAGAGGCTTCCCTGGGTGTCTCAGGGACCTGCCCTTGTGGTCAATATCTCAGCCCTCCAGTTTGGTCTGCTTCGCCTGCGGCAGAAAGCCAGGAACTCCATCCAGATCCAAAATGTCAGCCAGCTCCCAGCTGTGTGGCACCTGAGGGAGAGCCCAGTCTGCCTGGAAGAAAGACATGAGAGTGTAAGTTGAGCTCTGCTGGCTCCCACTGCACCACTTCACTCATGAGCACCGAACCTCTGATTGTGTCTGAGCTGCAGTCCTCGTGCTGTGCATGCAGATGTGAATGGAGGTGGGAGGTGCAAAACCTGCTGCCCCCTGATGCCCATCGCCCCCCACCACTGAGACCGCATCCTGCCCAGCTGAGCTCATCTCCCAACCCCGAATTTTCTGCTCCCTTTTCTGCTGTTGGATACAGAAGCAGCCCTGGCTTTCTCTCTTTTCAGAACAGTCTTCATCAAGGGGAACATGGGCAACTGTGTTGTTCATGCAGCTTCCAGGGTTGCTGTTGCTAGGGCTACGTTTCTGCCCTGAGGACTCACCAGGAGTTCTGATTTTCCCTGGGATGATACATGCTGTTTAAGTACCTGCCAGCAGGTGGTGTCTGGGCACAGGAATGTGAACCAAACCTTGAAAGTTCCAAAAAGTCAAGATTTACTTACATTTCTTAGCTGTATCCTTGCCAGCTGAGCTTTGACCCAAATTCCAATGCCTGAATTCTGGCAAGCACACAGAGCCTTCTTTTTCTGTGGCAGTGCCAGGGAGGCTGAAACCCAGAAGCCAGCAAGTACAGCCTTCTACATTTGTACCAGGGGCCTGGTAGAGATGAGAGAGGGAGAGGGCAAGCCTGGTCTCATGACACCTCTAGGTCCCTGATCTTATGGAAGGAAAAGACCAGATCTTTCCCTGAGAGATCTCATTGTCCTGATCTCATGGAAGAGAGGGACCAGAGAGGGATTACATCTTGTCTACTGTGACCTTTGGTGTCCATTGGCACCTTCCCAGTGTATTGTGGGCCCTCTAGGGCCCTAGGGCTAGTCCCTTGGAGGAGTGTACCTCCACTCACCAGGGCCAGGAAGGATGGATGTGGGGAGCCCTCCGCAGCTGTGGACACTTTTCTACCTAAGGCTTTTTTACTTCCCATCTCTGTCTAGGTATCTAGTGTGGAGAGGCTCAGACTTACGGGCTGAATGCGTTCATCCTGCAGGGGATGGGAGAATGAGTAAGGAGAAAGGGAGAAAACTATGGCTGTATGGCAGCTTTTCCATGTCCCAGGCTGGTGACCTGGTGGCTTTCCTTGGCTTTCCTGGTGGCTGTCTGGGTTCTGACCTGGGCCTGCCCGGAGGGCCACTGCACCTCTCTGCCGTGGCTTGTGGGCTTTCCTCCTAGAGCTGGTTTCTCCATCTGCCTGCCTAGCTCTCCCTGTTCCCCTGAGGTACCTCCCTCTGATTTCTGCCTCTTAGGTGTGAGCCAAGGAGACCTGTCTCTTATTCATTGCTTTACTGTGGAGGCTCAGTGAGACCCTGATGCAGTTGCTTACCTCCTTTAGGGCCCCAGGTGGCTCTGTGAGAGCTTTGCTGGGCATGGCCAGCCCCAGCACGCAGTCTCGCGCATTGTTATTCCTTATCTTCCTTGCCCATTAGGTGTCACCCTTTGACATTGAGCCTTCCAGTGGCCAGCTCCAGCCTCTGGGAGAGTGCACTGTGACTGTCACCTTGGAGGCCGTGCATTGCCAGAGCCTCCAGACTGTACTGGAGCTGGAGGTGGAAAATGGGGACTGGAGGTATGGGGGCTGGAGGGGGGAGGTGGGGAGATTACAGCAGACTGTGTATTCATAGTCTGTTTATGGCATGTGCGGTTGTACCTCATACAAACACACTCCTGAATTTAAAACTATTGACATATGGCTATTCTATAAAATTTGAAAATTACAGTAAAGAAAATTACAATGACCTGTAATTCATTATCTGTAAATAATTTGCAGGTAATATTAGTGGATTTATGTTTCTAGAGTGTGTGTGTATTAAACCAATGTAAATTAGTATAGTCACCTTAAAAAACACTTTACTATTATCTATAATGTGAATCGTAATAGTGGACAACTAGAAACATCAATGTTCATCAACAGGAAAATGGACTCCCCCAAACTGTGATGTATTTAAATGTACACATACTGTTATACCCTGGGATGAATACCCTGGAAGTTTTGAATATACTAATGTTTCTTTTCCTTCTTTTTCTTCTCCCTCCTCTGCTCTCCCTCTTTCTTTCTAGTGGGAAATATCTTACATATATAAGAATAGGACAGAGTAATAAACCCTCACGAACTCTTCACCTACCTTCAATAATTATCAGCTCACTGCAAATATTCACCTATCTGATACACCTAGCATTGTCCAAATTATTTTGTTAAAATGACTGGTGGTAATATTTTGTTTCTGAAGCTGGATAGAGTAGTTTGTAAGACTTCTTTTTATAATTATTCTTTAAATTCTGTATTTACGGGGATACGTGTGTTTTACATTCATGTGTATATTTTGTATTTATCATTAAAACATTCAGCTGCTCATTTACAATCTTTATGGATTCGTGGAATTGCTCTCCCCAAAGACTGACATTTTACCTTTCCACCTGCAGTGTGTGAGACTGAAGATTACCCTACACTCTCACAACGATGGATATTGACTGACTTTTTACAATTTGACCATATGATGGGAGCAGAGAATACCACCAATATCTTGTTTCCTGTGCCAGTCATTTCTTTACTGGTCCTGCAGAACACTTTTTTTTGATTCTTTATTAGTTAGCTTTCTTGCCACTGAGACATGATACCCGAGATACTGAGACACAAACACCCATTGCTTACAGGCAGAAAGGGCTAATTTAGCTCAGGGTTTCAGGGGAGTCAGTCCCTCATTATCAGGCTCTAAGGCAGAAACCTTGTGCCCAAAGGGCACAGAGGAGCTACTTAGTTCATAGTGGTAACGAAATAGAGCAGGAGAACTGCACCAGAGAGGACTGGACGAAGGAAAGTATTTAACACGCAGGCTCATGCCTCCATGGCCTGCCCAGACACACACCTAAAACGCTGGTATATATCAGGCATTTCCTCATTCATTGAAGATGATACATCAGGATTAATGATCATACTTTCTATGAATTTTTCTCCTTTTTTTCCCTACTTCTGTTCTTTCTTCTGAAAGGGTCTTATATCAGTAAAAGTGTTTACAACTACAGGTGGGTGGCAACAGTCCTGACTGATTTGGAGAGTAAAGGAAAAAGCACTGGGCCGTGTTACCAGGCACCCTCCATTGTCAAATCCAGCCGAGACCTCTTTCTTTGTGTAGTCTTCTGGTTTCTTTCCTTCTCTACCCTGCTTCCCTCTTCTCTCACCCCTGCCTTTCTTCGTTGGCCTGGCTTCCCCTGGTGGTGAGGGCCGCTGGCTGTGCCACTTGGAGAGTGGCCCTCAGAGCTCTGGGTTCTCATACATTCTCGTGTACAGCCTTAGAGAAATGGGAGCCACCCATCTCCAGAGATGGGCCCTGGGCTCCACCCCTTCCCCTTGGTGAGGCAAGATGGGGATGGGGAGCTTTTCTAGAGGAAGAAAGTGGGAGAGCTTCCAGACAGCGCAAACAGTGGCTGCCAGACCTAGCCAGCACTGCGGCGTGCTGTTAACTGTGCTTCTCAGAGTTTCCCATTTCTTTAGTGCTTTTGCTCATTCAGGGAAGAGGTCCTTGGCTTTGTAGTTCACGGGTTCTCTCTTTGGTGGTATGTCCTTCTTTTGGCAATGGGGTATTTAAGTTTCACGGTTTTGTTCTTGGGTTGCTCCTGTTTTTATATTATTGTAATCTGTTACTGTTTTACGGATGTAACAGCCTCTCACATTCCCCACAAGGAAGCTAATTTCTGTTTTTTCAGGTTTTTTTCTGGAGTCTTTCTCCTTTACTTGTTGGCTTCTGCTACGTGTAGCTATATTTGAGTGGAAGATCTGGTTGATTTGTCTCAGGAGCTGATGGTAGATGTTTTCTCTGTGTAAGTGACAGGAGAGGTGCTGAGCACCTATCTTACCTGAATGAAGTGTGGCAGAGTGCGTCACCCTCGAGCACAAATGCTAGATCCAATCCCATAAGAAGAAGCGATCTTTCAGGAAAATTAGTTGAGTCAAACTGCACCCAAAACTGGCCAGCTGCACAAAGCATTGCACTTTGCCGTTCAGAGATAGGAATGAGGGAGTAGGGTCTGTTTGGTTGTTTTTCTGTGTGGCAGTCAAGAGGAACAGGGTTACTGCAGGCTCCGCCTGGCATCTCACTAGCCCTATATCCATGCTCTTCAGTAGGGCAAATACTGCTGTGGCCCAGTCTTTATGCACTGCCCTGACCACAGAGGCTGGGCTCTGAATGGCCCAAGCGGGTCAGGCTCCCAGCGATCCTTGAGTGTTTTCTAGCTCTTTCCACACAGCCCACTCCTGTCCATTGATGATTTTCATTCCACTGTTAGCACCTTGTTTTACCTGTGTGGGGTCTTTTGCTCCAGGGGTTTTAAGCAGCAGTTTTGCTCTCTGTTTCATCAGTTAATCTGACCTCACTTCCCTGGTGTTGGATTAACGCTATATTCGCCCACCTCTTTACCTGAAACTGAGGTTTTGCATTAAGAATGCATTCTACCACTGAGGCATGCCCCTACCCTTTTAAGTCTTTATTTTAGAAATTCACACATGATGAGGACGCTGGGTTTGACAGTTGCCACTCTTGACTATGTTCCATCCTTCCTTACCTGCTTTCTTTTTTTGTCCATGTCCTCAACTTATACCTGTGATTCTGTCTTTGGTGTCAATCACTAAAGAATATGAAGCAGCGTTTCACTGAGAATTTGGTTTGCACTTTCCTAGTGGAAAATGCATTTGTTGGTCACTTGTGAATTCTTGAAGAAATAACAATTAAGATGTTTTATCTATTTCTAAAAGTAGAATTTCCTTTCTATCATTGAGTAGTAAGCATTTTAAAACATATTTTAGACACAGTTTTCTTACCTAACATATGCTTTTCAAATATTTTTACCCATTCTAAGGATTGGTGTTATACTTCTTTGATAGTTTATTTACTCTGAAGTGCAAAGTTTTCACTTTGCCCAGTTAATCTATTTTTCTCCTTCACTTGCTTATGGTTTTTGGTGTCTTACTTAAGAAATCATTGCTTAATCCAAGATCACAAGGATTTCTCATGTTTTTTTCTGAAAGTTTTATAATTTTGGTTGTTACGTTTAGGTCTCTAATCCATTTTGAGTTAATTTTTGTGTGAAAAGGGGTCCATTTCATTCCTTTCCATGTAGATAGCTAGTTGTCCCAATAGTGTTCTTAAAAGACTATTCTTTACCTGTTGAACTATTTTTGCACTTTTTTGTTGTTGTTGTTTTGACTTTTGCCTTTTTGAGGGGAGGACTCACTGTGGAGCCCAGGCTGCCCTTGAACTTGCGGTGCCTCAGCCTGCAAGGTGCTGGGATTACAGGTCTTTGCCACCTTGCCCACTCTTGTCAGTTGACATAAATTTGAGGCTTTATTTATGGATTATGAATTCTGTACCTTTTATCTCTTTGTCTGACTTTATGCTAGAGCCATATTATTGATTAGTATGGCTTTATAAGTTTGGAAATTGGGAAGTGTAAATTCTGTAACTTTGTTTTTCTCTTTCAGGAATGTTCTGGGTCCTTTGAACTTCTTTTGGGTCCTTTGAACTTCTGTATGAATGTTGAGTCTCAGTTTGTCAGTTACAGCAGGGAGCCAGCTGTGGTTTTGATAAGAGTATGTTGTGTCTGTAGATCAGATCATCTTGACAACGTGATCTTCCTGTCCATGAACATGAAATGTCTTTTCATTTATGTAGATTCTTTTTCCTTTCTTTAGTGATTTTTTGGCTAGTTTTTAGGATATAAGTCTTATCCTTCTTTTATTAAATATTCCTTAGTATTTTTTGTTTTTGAAAATAGAACTGTGTTCTTGATTTCTGATTTGTCTATTGCTAGAGAAGGAAAAATATTTTTTGGATATTGGTCATATATCCATATAGCAGTGATGCTGACCTTATTTATTATTTCTAATTCTCTCTCTCTTTCTTTTGTTCTTTTTCTTTATTGTTTTATATTTTGATTTTATGAGATAGGATCCCACCAAGCAGTTTAGGCTGTCCTTGAACTTTGCTATGTATGCCAGTCTGGCCTCAAACTGATGGCAATCCTCCTGCCTCAGCCTTCTGAGTGCTGGGATTATAGGTGAGCACCACTATGCCCAACCCTCTAAATTTTCTGAAAAGAGGATCATATTATCTCCATACAGAGATGATTTTACTTCTTCTTTTCAATCTCTGTGCCTTTTATTGCTTTGTACTGCTTAATGAATTTAATGTTATGTTATTAAATAAAATCTAGTACAATGTTAAATAGAAGTTAAAGAATGTCTTTTTCTTGTTTCCCATCTTAAAAGAAAAACATTTATTTTTTACCAGTAAGTATAATGTTAGCTGCAAATCGATATTCTTTGTCAGCTTGAGAAAGCTTCCTTCTATTCCTTGTTGCTGATGGTTGTTCTCATGAAAGGATGTTGCATTTGTTCAAATGATAATGCTGTTCATATCCTTTTCTCTACTAGCATGCTATTTTATATTGAATTTTGGATATTTGTTTATGTTACAAATCCTGTTTGATCATAATATATAATTGTTTTTATCTATTGCTAGACTTTAGTTTGTAGTATTTTGTTGAGGACTTTTACCCTTCTATTGGTAAGAAATA